CTGGGCTGGCTGCGGGCTCTGCTCGGCGGGGCTGGCAGAGGCTCGGAGGGTCCCCCGAGGCTGCGGACGCCCCCCGAGCCTCACCGAGATGCTCCAGTGCCATCCAGTGCCATCCAGTGCCATCTAGTGCCATGGGGACCCGGCTGAGCCTCCCTGCTCCTCCCGGCCTGCGCAGCTCCCGGGGGCTGCAGCGATCTCAGGAGGAAAAGGAATTTCATTCCTTCCCTGCAGGGTCAGAGCGTCCAAACACAACCTGAACATCTCCGAACCGGGCTGTAAAATCGTAAAAACTGTTTTCTTCCAAAGGAACCGATGGGAACGAGGTGTCTGTGCGGCTTTGGCTGTAGGTGTCCAATTTCCTCCGACACCTCGGACATCCAGAGCGTCCCTTCACTTCTCTCCCTCATTAACGCAGTTAAATTATTTAATGCATTTAACATAATTAGCACGTCGCAATCCTAAACTGCGAGCAGCTGCCCAGCCCTGCGATTTCTCCTTCCAGCTGCCCATTAATGCCTCCCTCCGGGCGATTATAAAGCAGGAAAAGGCCACAAATCCCAGCCCTGCGCTGGAGGAAAAGGAAGGAGCAGGGCAGAGGGCTCGTGTGGATTAACACAACTCATCCACCGCAATCCCGCATTGCTCGGAGGCTGCTGAATCCCCGATTTAGCCCGGCGATGCAGAGCGGCTCTGGGTGCAAAGCTGTGTGCGAGGCTCAGCCTTGCCCCGTTCCCTGCCTTTTGGAGGTGATTTGTTCTCTGCTCTCACTGCTCAGTTTTCCACGGGAATCGCGGTGAGGATGATAGTGATCTGTACAGTAATTACCTTTGCACGTGCTAATTGTGTTATTTGGAGCGGCAATTAGGTGGGGAAGGGACTTGGGCAGCTCTTCCCGAGATCCCTCCCTGGCCCTGAGGAGCATCAGGCTCCCAAAAGCGCCCTCTGCTTTTCCCGTGGCCCTTTCCTCCCCACCTTTTAATGCTTGTCTGATCCTCGGGTTTTATCCCGGCCGTGGGGCTCCCTCGGGAACAGATCTGCGTTTCCAGCCCCCCTGGAGGTGCCAGACCCCTCCTGACCCGCAGGACCGCCCGTGTCCCATGAGCTCCAGCCCTGCTCCCCGTGATCCAGCTCGGATAAACCTCCCTGGGACAACCAGCGGGAAGTTCCAAAGGGAAGGATGAGGCTGGGAGGGGAGGGCTGGGAGCAGGATTTGATCCAAGACTGAGGATCTGACTTCTTCCACCCGCAGCTTTTCCCTGTCGGTGCTCTCAGCCGGTTGTGTTGAGTGATTTGAGTGAGTGATTTCTTTGGATGCATTTTCCCAGTTTTGCCTGGGAATCCTTCAGGCCAGCTTTCATTTTGGTCCACCAGGGACCCTCTGGCTCGTCCCAAACACAGGACACGTTTTCACCTCCACATCCTCTTCACTCTCACCTTCACTGCTGCCCTGCAGGTCCATCCTCACCTTTTGGCTTTATTGGGATAATTCTCCCCCCTGGGCACTAACAGAGGCCCAAGCAGCTCCCGGCACCCAGCACTGGGTGAGAGCAGCTCTCTGGAGCTTTGGATTTCATCATCAGCCTCTCCTAAGGAAGGAATTTGAACTCCAGGCATGGCACGTTTGCTCTGCTGGCAGCACCAATCCTGTTTGTGAGCACTCTGCTGAGGAAAGTGCAGCTCTGCTGCTTGTCCGAACCCCTGGGCTTCCCAACCGGATCCCTCCTGCCAGCTCCCACCTCTGGCTGCCTTTCCCCTGAATCCCGAAGGCAGAAGTTTTGCAGGATAACAAGTGTCCCCTGTGATGGGGAGCACAGGCAGCTCAGTGTGGATTCCCAGGGAATGTCCCAGGGCTGCCAGGGTCCACAGCCCCCGCTGGATTTTCCTGGGCTGTGTGGACACACGTGGCTGCGTTTCCCTGCCGGGACCGTCCCTGCTGTGCTCGGTTCACAGGCTCTGCCTAATGGGGTCCGTGATGGGGCTCGGCAGCCCCAGCCCAGGAAGGCTTGGGGGGCCTTGGGGAGCCTGGGGACTCCCTGGGCCCAGCTCTAAATCAACACCAGCCCCAGGAGAGCGGGTGCTCCGTGCTGTGAGCCCAGCTGAGGAGCCCGTGGCTTCTTGTGGTGAAGGAATAATTAACAGCTTGGGCTGCCCCCAACCCCAAGAAGGGATAGAAGGGCTCTGGGGGGAACGGGGGCTCGTTGTTATTGTTTGTTTTATGGTTAGGCCGACACAAACACCTCATGGGCTGCAGCCCTTGTGCTGGGGGGGACCCCCAAACCCACCCAGCGTGGTGCAGCCTGGCAAGGGAGAGGTTCCTGGTCCAGTGGGAGAGATCACGCTCAGAAGGATGCCCAAATTTTTATTTTATACTTCGATTTTCATTCCTGCTCCTGCCCATTGGCAAAGGTGATTTTGGGGTGTGGGGACAGCAATGCTGCAGGAATGGGGACCCTGGGGGAGGGTTTTTGGGGGGTCACAGGTGCCAGGGGAGCACGAGGGAGATACTGGGGATGCCGATGGATCAGAAGAAGCTGCTGGAGGGAGCAGAGGGGTATTTAGAGCCTGGAGCAGAGCTCAGCAGCCCCAGGTGCACTTCAAGCCCTCGAACTGAGGCATCCCTAAAAAGCTGCGAGGGATCGGGCATCTGCCTGCTGGAGCCTCTGCAGCTGCTCCAGGCAGCTTTTCCTTCCCCTGCTCCAGCGTGGCTCTGCCGGGGTCGGCTGCCGGAGCTTCCCCGGCCCCGGGGGTGGCTCGGTGCTGGAGCCGGCCCTGGCAGGCGCCGCTCTCGCAGCTCAGCCCCGCAAAACGCGGCTCTCCCATCGCCCCTGGGCTGCTCGGGCTCATCCTGCCCCACTGCCGAGTGCTCCCTGCGGCCCAGGCTGCTGCTGGGACCGCTTCCCCTGCAGAGGAGCCGAGGCAGCGGAGCTGAAGCGAGCCCGAGCAATTAAAAGCACCCGCAGCAGATGGTCGGTGCCGTCTGTCTCCCCGCCACCGCCCCCTCGCTCTTCCTCTCCTTCTCTCTCCCGACTCCTCTTATTCTTCTATTTTGCTGATTTATCCCCCCCAGGACTTCCCAGCCAAGCGGGAGCCCCGCATTCTCCTGCACCCCCAGCCCCTTCAGCTGCTGAGGAATTCAGATGAGGACACAGCTCCGTCCGAGGGGAAACTGAGGCACGGAGGAGGCTGGGACCTGCGGGTGCCACCCGACCCTCCTCTCGCAGCTGCAGAGATGCTGCCGCGTGTTCTGTGCCCTTGGCTTCAGCTCGGAGCATCTTTTTGGAGGAGCTGTAAATTCTAGGTGCCAAAGAGAAGGGAAGGATAAAACAGCCGTAAAAATCAGCCTGATTGAATGATTTATCCCGGCTCCCTCCGCACTCCCAAACTCTTCCCTTGACTCACAGCCTCCTTCCCCAGATCCTGGGTTGTATTTGGCCCCAGGGGTTTACATTTGCAGGTGGAAATTTAAATTTGATTTTTCAGCCGCAGCCAAAACGGAGCCCCAGGTCTCTGCAAAGGCCACGGGCTTTTCAACCCCTCTCCCAAACACGATGTCCCCCCAGCCCTGGGGACCCCCGTGTGGCCGCATTCCTCCTCGGTCCCTTTCTCAGCCGAGGTGGAGCCCTGCAGCGGGGACGATGCCGGCCTCAGAAGAAGGCGCATTGTTTCTTGGAGGGGTTGATTTCTCCTGCTGTTTGTCTCTGCGCCTCCTCCGGGCTCTCTTTGGCCGTGCCAGTTTTGTTGGATGCCCGAAGCTCCTCCCGGGTGGCAGCGCTTGATCCCGAGCCGGACAATGGGACGTGCTGCTGTCCTGGCTTTACTGGGATAAAACATCTCCCTCCCTGCGCCGGGGGATGCTGCGGGGGAGGGGATGGGGACGGACAGACGGACTCTGTCTGGATGGATTCCCTCCAAAGGCTGATCTGGGCGGGCGTTTCCACTGGAAGATGCCCCGGGAGGTCGCTGGATGGCCGGGTTGGAGGAGCTGGGGGATGGCCCTGGGGGGGTTCCAGGGGGGATCCTGAAGCTCTGAGGGATCTCGGAGAGCGAGTAAAGTCCTGTTTGCTGAGCCCCTGAGTAAATCCTTCCCCTAAAATAAAAAATCCCATCAAGAGTTGCTTGATCTCAGCGCTGGCTCCAGCTTCCCTTGGCTCCAGCTGGTGCCGGAGCCTCGGGGGAAGGGATGAAGGCAGAGGATCCTTCCCTTGGAGCCGGCTCAGAAAGCTCTGGGGGGAAAGGAGGAGCGAGCAGGAACAAGGGAGGACGGAGCAGGTACAAAGCAGCCCCTAAACCACAGCCTGCTCTTCCCTGGAGCAGCTCCCGTCACACCCCGCTCAGCCGAGCCACCTCCTGCTGTCACCCCCGGCCGAGCAAGGAGCCTTAAGGATGAAAATCCCTCTCTCAGCTCCTTGCAAAGCTGCAGGAAATCTCTCCTGGCCTGAAACATCCCCTGCCCTGCACCTTGCCGAGCTCCTCGGCGCAGGATGCTCAAGGCACGGTCCCGCTGGTGTGAGCGGGACACGGAGCTCACCCCAGGAGCTCTGCTCGGGCAGGATCGCTCCTCAAAGCTCTCCCGACTCCGATTCCCTCCCCCGGTCCTGCTGCAGCCGGGCTGGGGCCGGGAGCTGGATGGGAGAGAAGAACCAGCCCCGGGCTGGTGCCAGCCTCTTCCCGCTGGATGGGAGGGTGGGCAGGGATGGCATCCAGGCTCTTCTCTCCTGCAGCGCACATTCCTTGGGGCTTTTTCCTGTCCTTAAAGCTCGTTGAGAGCCTTGGAGGGTTGAGGGGCACCAAGGAGGGAGGGCAGCTCATCCCAACCCGCCTGTCTTCACGGGGATGATCGTTTCCAGCCGAAATGCTGCCATGGGCTTGGTTTTCTTTTTCATCAGCTGCTTTAGTCCTCCCAGTGACCTCTCCCAGGCTTTCCCCTGCGCCTGCACAGCTCCAGAGGGGGCTGGATCACAGACCGACTGTTCCTTTACAGGACAGTCCGTGCGAGCACCTGGCTCGGTCACAGCCAGAGGACCCGAACAGAAGAACCTGGGCCGGGTTCAGGGTCAGGAATCAGCCCCTTGGCCGGGTGTTTTGTTTATTTGGGACCGGGGTGCTCCCAGGGCACTGAAGGGTGGGTTTGTGCCGTGTGGGGCATTCCTACAGCATCTCCTGGCTCTGGGGACACCGAGGAAGGACAAGGAGCACTGGTGTGCCTGGTGCTGGCCCTGAGATCCAGCGGGACGTGCTGAGACAGAGCCGCAGGTGAGAATTCCCCGGAGGAGGGAAAAGCGGGATGGATCACTGCCCTCTGCTGCTCCCCATCAGACACGGCTCAGCCCCAGCTGTGGATCAGAGGTGGGGGAGGCTCGGGTGAAGCTCTCTGGGGACACGGAGGGTGTTCCTGGGATGAGCCATGCGGGCTCCAAGCTCAGTTCGTGCTGCTCTGCCCCTGCCCAGGCCCTTTGGTGGCCAGGGCAGCTCCAGCCTGGGATTTGCAGGCTCGATGCTGATTTGGGGCAGGATGCAGCGTTTCATTTGATCCAGGAGTGCAGCTGGGATGGAGTAGGGTCTGGTTTGATGGGGCTTTTCGAGGTGGTCTGTTGGGACACATGAAGGATTTTTCATTTGTGCCAAGCTCCAAAAAGAAGAAGGGAGCAGGATGAACCCTGATGAACCATCCTGCACGGATCCATCCCTGTTGCCTTGCTCTGCACACCCACCCTGTGATGGACCAATCCCACCCCAGTCTGATTGCTGGCTCAGCTGGGCATCTCACAGCCTGTGATTTCCCCCACTTTTCCCTTGTGTTTTCAAGGGAGATCATTAATATCACCTGCCTGCTCCTCAGCCCCGTTCGGCTGCCGAGGGGTGACCTGGCTGTGGCGAGACAATGCTGCAGGGAATGGGGGAAATTCAGGCCAGGGCAGCTCCGTGCCTGGTGGGGAGAAGCTGAAAGGGAGATTTGGGAATGGTTTTGCCTGGAAACTTATAGAAAGCAGCATCCTGGGGAAGAAGGTGTGATGTCAACTGCAGCGCTTAAAATATACCCAGGGCAAAATCACATGGCAGCAGCTGAAACAGGAGCTGCCGGGCTCCGAGCCCCGAGGGAGCCTTGGGGATCCATCCTGAAACTGCTCCCCAGCCCTTGCCATGAGCAGGGAGCTGCTCGGGAGGGCTGGGGGACATCAGGGAGGGGTGAGGACATCAGGGAGGGGTGAGGGACTGCAGAGAGGGCTGGGGGTCAGCAGAGGGGACTGGGGGACAGCAGGGG